GAGATTAGTGATCCAAGTAGCTTGTATAGAGTGGCCTGTAAATTGTGAATAAATTAAGGTTATAAGAGAATTATAGTAGGTTCTTCAGAGCAGTGAAGTAATAGTTTCACCCTGATCAATACTATTATAGACTAGATATGATAAGATAAAACCAAGATTAGTAATAACTTGATTATGCCTATTTGTGAACAAATCTATTATTGTGTTTATAGTTTTTAGAGATAAAGCAAGATGTAAAAGTGATTGTTCAAAGAAAGTAAGATTAACAGAGTTATATGCTTTGCTCATGTTCTAAAACAAGAGCCAAATGTCTTTGTAGCTACAGAATGCATCTTCAATAAGATTATTAAGAATGTGAATAGAGATAAATATACTGTTGCCTAGAAGAGCAATGTAATTATAAAGAAAGAGGATAGTATATTGTGTAAATACAGAGTTAAATCTATTTGTAATAATTTTTGTATAAAGTTTTCAAATATGTTCAATGAGGCTAATAAATTTTGTTAGATTAAAGTCTCTATTGAAAGTATTATACTTAGAAATGAGATAGATTCTGCTATGTTTTTATTATTTGGAAACTTGATCAGAGTTGAGATAGTGATTAAATAAGGCAGTAATAGATTGAATGCATATGAAACTGGCATATTTAATCATTTCATATCTTATGTCTATAGAACCACAAGCTTTGCCATTTGGAAGTTGGGCTATTATGTTGAGTACTTCTTCTGTTGTAATAGCTTCAGTAAATGAAGTATATTAAGTTGGGTTGATATGTAATTGTAGTTGATAGTGTTGTTGTCAGAAGTTTTGATAGAGGTTATAATTAATTAGTTTGTGTTTTGTCTAGTTTTTAAAGTGCTTTTGGATATGTTGCTTAATAGCATTTAGTTCAGTAATAAGTTGATTTAGTAGTTTAATATTAGATAAATAAATAGGTTCATAGTAGCAATTAAGAATGCTATTAATGGCCTGTTTAGAATATGAAATAAAAGTTTCACTTCAATGTCTTTTTTAAGCATTTACTGTATTAATATTGGTATATTTTTTAATGATTATTTTAATTTTTCTTTTATTTAAAATATAGCAGCTATTAAATTTTTTTTAATTTTATATCTTTGTAGTTTTATAAATAGTTATAAAAAAATTATACTAACATTTTTATGAGTTATAAAACTATTAGACTTACTGGATTACTATTTTATAAGTTTATTAAACTTAAGTATAAATTATAAATTTTAGAAAACTCAAAATATATTCACTCACATTAATTAACATTTATTAGTTTTTCTAACTTATGAAAGTAAACTATGCATCTAAGATTAATTTTTTTGAATTCTATAACAAATCAAAAATATCAATATTTATAGGTTTTAATTATTATCATATTTATTATTTTTAATATTAGAGGTTATAAATGGATTTTGTAAATAGACAAACAATAATTATAATAATAATTAATTAATTTAATAAACAATTTAATGCATCAATGTTTAAAGACATTATTGAATAGATTCCTTTTAGCAAATTTACAAATATAAAGTATTTTGTTAAAAGAGACTTTTGCATTATTTTTAAGTCAGTATAGATTAACAGACATATTATAAGATTTGATAATCAAAATATATATAAAAATAAACAGTACAAGTAGATGTTTGTTTAAAGAGCTTTGATAATTCTAAAAATATAAAACAAAATTTTTTTTTTTTAAATGTTAAGATGAGTACATGCAACTCAGGATTTTACTGATAGTATAAGTTGGCCAGCATCTGTACATATACAGACACAGAGGCAATTACAGAAAGAGTGTACAACTAGTTACTTGTACAACTTTAGTTATTGTCTAATTTAAGTAGTCTACTCAAAAGTTCTATACTAGTTACTATACCTAGAACCCATCTGTAGATCCTCTATTTAAACACTTTGATCCTGCATTTACTACATCCTATTAGTGACTCTGGTAAACCATTGAAGATATGCCATAGTCACTAAGTCATATTTAACTTTGTACTAAATCTACTAGTGCATTCTGTATTCTATACTTACAGCTTACCTAATCATGCTTTGGCCTAAACCATTATTTGCAGTTAGGGCTAATCATTAAACTGCTTTTACTCTTGTAAGGTTCACCCAAAATCCTGGTATTCATCTTTCCGATATCCTCTCCATTGTCCTCTACTAACCACTACTCAGGATTGACAGAACTCCCTGAACTTCCAATTCAGATAATCCAGTATGATATACCTTAGTATCCTTTTTTTCTGGTGATTCTTGTAACCTGGGTACTACAATCTTAGTATCTGTTTTTCTGAGATAATCTTTACAGCAGAACTATTGAAAATTCAGTTACTTCTCTACTCAGGTCTTTTTAAATGAATTTAATAAATTTATATGATCACAAAAACTTATCTAGTATTTATATTGCCTAATTGCCAGTTTGTATTTCTTTATATAACTACAGATCTTGTCTTAAAAGACAATATTATATGCTGTTATATGAATGTCCTATGACCTGCCAGTTATACTGATATGATTGCTATTATAAGTATCCTAATCCAATTATTAGTAACAGTTATTATAATACAAATATTACATAGGTAATTATTCAAATTTTTACTATCAATAGGATTTGAACATTCAACCTACTACTTAAAAGATTGACAACCTGATTACTTTACTAAGTTGCCACACTCAGTACTGAGATTTAGATGAACTCTGTAGAAACATATTCTGTTAATAGTTTATAAAATAAAAAGGTTAGTTAACAAAAAGATTCTTTAAACTCTACAGTCAGATAATATACTCTGAAATTAGGTAACAGCTTAACAAATATACAGAAAAAGAGACATAATGTTGGATTAGACAAAATTTAAATGTATGAGAACTGAAATAACTAATTGCTTGAATATAGTATAAGAACCAAAATGTTTAATTAAATAGTCTTTTAGTAGATTATAAATATAATAACTAGTGTAAAACCCTTAGGTGAACTACTTAAATAGATACTAAAAGTTATATATATGACTAATTGTATGCTTACTCTGTACAAGTAATATGTAATATATTAACTAAAAACACAAATAAAAGCATTAACTACTATTTACATTAGCCTTAATAATAATAATAATAATAATAATAATAATAATAATAATAAAAATGCTTTAGAGTTAAGTATATTTTGAAAAATCAAAAAAGTAAGTTCATTAAAATTAATAAATGAATCAAATGTGCTTTCTTTATTCATTTTACAAATAAAAAAAACAAACAAAAAAATCACTTATTTATATTTATGTGTAATAATTAAAAAAAAGCTAATTTTTTATCAATGTAATGTCATAATTAATTTTTAATTAAAAGAGCTAATTTTCATCATATCTATACGGTGCCATAATAATTAACCAATTGAAAACAACTATGATTCGTCAATGATTGTATTAATTAAAAGTCTAAAGTTAAATCATGCACTTTTGCTATTTAATCAATTTCAAACTCATTTTGAGCATACAAAGTTCAAATAATATAATAAAAATTATATGATCACTAAACTCAAGTTTAACTAGTTCGGGTCTCAAACAGGAGTCGAACAGAGTTCAGACAAGTAGGATAACATCCCTAGTCCAAACATTCACATTACAAGAATGTTCACAGCATATAAAAGTTTCAAAAATTAATATATTAATTTGAAAAAAATATAATTATATATTTTTTAATAGTGCTAAATATTTTTATTTAGAAAGTTAAATAAATTAATAAAATTTTGAGTAATTTTAATTTATTTATTCAAAAAATGTCTACAAATGTCCCGTGCCAACACTGGTCTAATGGATACGTAGTATAGTTCAAAGTAACACATAACAGTATGTTTTGAGTAAAGTATAATAGTTAAGATTTGAATTTCAATTGAGTTGATTGGCCAATAGTCACGAGTTTCTGCTATGCGTTAGGTGCTGGAAAAAAGAAATCAATTTTTATACGTATTATCGTTATAAATCTTATAATAAATCATGAGAAAATGCAAATTTTTAAAGAGCTATACTGTAAAACTTTATTAATACAACTACTTTCATATCTTAAGTGAAAAATAATACTAATTTTATTATAAATTGATTTATATAAAAAAAAAAACACTTGAAAGATTGGCATTTTTGGTCCTTTTTCCAGTACCTAGCCCAAATATCAATTATTTCTACGTACGACAATTGTAAGTTATCGTACGTAAGTACAATGGTACATATATCTGTAAGACGTATTCAAATACGTATTCGATTCGGTTACTGATACATATTCGTACTATCGTATCAATTTTTACTCTCATATGATAACGTCTGGAAAACTTTTATTATTATTTGTTGTTTTATAGATCACTTTGTCATACTAAGTCTTATTAAAGTCATATCCACTGATTTACCGTTACGGAATTTGGATCCTTAAACAGTTAGCTGTTGATATTACTATGTCGGTCACAAATAATTGAACAGTATAAATACAACCCATTTTCGATAAGAAAATTATACATTATTGTTGGACTACACTCTCAATTATCATTAATATAAACCCTATCTCAACGTATAAACTTTGGGTAGAATTATAATTTTATTTGGGTACTAATTTGATTCTGAAAATTTGGTGTATTCCACAAATCGACGGATATGTAACGATGTAACGATGTAACGATTTTTCGTCACAGAATGAATTCTCAGCCACAAGTGTGTATTGAACAATTTTTCTTAGCTTTAAAAAATTGATATTTTTCATTAAATGCATTCATTTTCTATTTGTATTTATATCTGTCAAATCGAATTTTAATCTGAATTTTTTGATAGACAACATAAAAAATGAAATAAATTCAAACCTTTCTTTGATCAGTGCTTCCATGTTTTTTGTAAACCATAATGGTTTGATCGACAGTTATACAATGCTTAAATATTTGCTTAAACATCATTTTCATTTTCATTTCTGTTACGATAAGCAATGAAGCCATTCCTAACTTCGAAAAAAGCAAAATGAGAAATCAAAGAAAAGCTTACTTAATCATAATTTCATCAGTGTTCTTCACAGTTTTATTGTATTCAATTGTATTGTTTAATCAAGTTTTTATTCCAAACCGTCAACGGTTTTTTGAACATCAATATATTGATCCGATGAAAGATACATCATTATTCTTGAAAAATGTCACACGAGTCAATGCCGTTATAATAGTTCTTGTAAGAAATAAAGAGATACATGAATTACGCAAGACAATGAGATATTTTGAAGACCGATGGAATAAAAAATATAATTACCCTTATGTATTTTTAAATAATGAAGAGTTTACTCAGGAATTTAAGGATTTAACAAAAAGGATAACTCATTCTGAGACATATTATGGTAATAATTAACAATTATTGTCGCGACTGATGCTGAGATTTTGGTCACTATTTTAATCTACTAAACTTAATATAATTCACTTATATTTTTTATTAACAACTCTAAACTTAAATATTAAAAAGAAAAGCACCACAAAATTTTTTAAATTTCACATTAAAATAAGTTCATTCTTAGCATCAGCCAAAATTAACACAGTGTTTTTAATCTTGTCTTTTCTATAAATTTTATCCGTTCTATTTCATAATAGGTTTAATACCAAAAGAAATGTGGGATTATCCTCCATGGATAAATCAAACAAAAGCTGCCGATGTACGTAAGGAAATGGAAGACAAAAAAATACTCTATGGCGGTTCTGAATCATATCGTCATATGTGCCGCTTCAATTCCGGATTTTTCTTTCGCCATGAACTTATCCAAAAATATGATTATTACTGGAGATTAGAACCCGGTGTGGATTTTATGTGTGATATCGATTATGATCCTTTTAGATTTATTCAAAAGAACAATATAACGTATGGGTTTACTATTTCACTCTTGGAATTACAAGATACTATTCCTACTTTATGGGAAACCGTTAAAATGTTTATGAATGAGTATCATCATTATATTCCTAGAAAAAATCTCATTAGATTTATAGATAATATTAATTATAATGGGTAGATATTTTTTATATCCAAATGTCATTTGAGGATTAATATTCTAACAAAAAGGCAAATCTCATTTCTTATAAATATGTCTATTTAATATAGTTGTCATTTTTGGAGCAATTTTGAGATAGGTGATCTGAATTTTTGGAGGAGTGAAAGGTACTTGAAGTTTTTCGATTATCTAGATCGAGCTGGTGGTTTCTATTATGAACGGTATATTTAAACCTATTTATAATTCATTCATTAATAGTAAATTAATGTCGCTGCAAATTCTGAAATTGGCAATTCTGAAATTTAATGTCCCTGTTGAAAGTATAAACTCTATCAAAACAAATATATGCTCTTTTATTAACAATTTAACTCTAACTCAACCTAGCTATAAAGTAATCTCAAAAATTATAAATTTCATATGAAAATTTCAGCTTCAGCCAATTTCAGCATTCGACATAAAACAATTAATTCCGCAACGTCAACTAACATCATTTAAAATGTCATTTATTTAAGTTGGGGTGATGCTCCAGTTCACTCAATAGCACTTGCTATGTTCCTAGAAAAATCAAAAATACACTTCTTTAATGATATAGCATACATGCATCCCCCTTTTCAACATTGTCCAATCGAAAAATGGTTTCATGAATCTGGCAAATGTCATTGTAATCCCGATAAAAATTTTGGTAAGTCCTTTAAATCACACTATATTATAAATTTATAACTTTTATTCTCAACGTCGCTTTTGTTTCTTGTAGATTCCACATTTGGTTCATGTACTGAAGCTTGGTTTGCATTATAAATATCATCATTTGGTTATATATTGAAATTATCGTTTGTGTGAACTGTTGCTAGAATATAATTGTTTGAACACACAACAAATAGTGTGTGTTCTCTAGTAAATGATAAATAGATAATGTATATGATAATAAATAATAAATAGCTATGTATTTTAATTTGTAATATATACATTTGGAACATTTGAATGTTATATATTTTCGTGCATAAAAGATGCCACCATATGGTTGCGAAATAACGTTCGTGATCGTTCTTGATTCAAAATAACGCGCACTTTGTAACGCGTGATTATATGGCATATTATTTTAAATTATCTCTGTAGGTGAAATATTGTAAGGTTCTGCAAGTGCCAGTACGCGCCATATTAAAGCATAGTGCCTATGTCCGTACCGGCACTTGCAGAACCCTAATAACAAAATACCAACACCTCGTAACCAAATACAAAAGCTAAATATAAAAAAAAAATCAAATTCGTAAAAATTTATAATCATGAAATTATTAAAGGGTCCAGGGATGGTGGATGGTAAAGTTCCTAGGTTCAGAACCGTAGAACCTGGTTTTAGAACTTAGATTTTAAACCCAGATTCTAATTTTGGAGTCATCGCCGCCAGTTGAAGTTGTCATCTTTATAGCTATTTTTTATTTTTATTACTCAGGCATGATTTGTTGTTGTTGTCTGCGCTTTTATTATGGGTTGCATTGTTTATCAGTCGGTGTCTTGTCTTTTTTTATTTTTTATTTAAATTTACTTAAGTGTCGTTTTTAGTTATGGACCGATCGCACTTCGGTAACAAATTGTCTGTCATCAAAAGAAATAGGATAATTAACATTTTTAACCTTCCAATACTGATAAAAAACCTGTCCACCATGCATATCGGTTTAATAGTATTTTAATAATGTAATAACTAAAAGAAAGCATGAGATCTAAGCTTTCTTTTGGTTATTGAATCATAACTTTAAAATTCATCGAAATATGAGCTGTTAAAATTAAGTGATGATTTTTTTAAAATAACAATCTACCTATTGTCTATTGATGGCAACCAAAATAATTATTGTGCAAACGTGCAAACACTTGTGACATAGATTTTTTTTTCTTATTTTTTGTACGTTTTACGCGTAAGCACAACAATCCTGAATTAAAATTCAGTTGGCCAATTATGACTTGTAAAGCATGATCATAAATTGCACGATAACATCGATATTGATTGGCTGAAACGTGTCATTGCGCGGCCATTCATGATATTAAATATTGCATAAAATATCGAATATTATATTACGCATTAATCACTACACATAAAAGTCAAAAATTTTATTAAATAAATCAATATTATCATATTACAATATTAAGTAAAGTTATTCAGAAGATCGAAAAATATATTCTAAAAGTTTATTAATATATTTTTATTTTTATATCATACAAAATATTGATAAAATATTGAGAATCGATTTTAAAATTTAATTCAAACCAAAGCAGGAACTTATGATATAGGAACCTAGTTCTTGGGTTTTAATTTGAGACCTAAAGGTAATAGAACCTAAACTATACCTAAACTAACTTTACTATTCCTACTTAATCTATCATTACAAACAGTAACAACAAGTAATGCAATAACTACTATCAAAAATATTTTAGCATAGGTAGTTGTCCACCGTTTCCCTAATGCTATTCTAGAGATCACAATTGAGATACGTAGAATCTTGCCAAGTCCGCCAATATTCCACGGAGTTTCAGTAGGAATGGTGAGAGAAATTGAATTTTTTGGTGTTTTAGTAGCGGTGGGCTTTTTATAGACGATGATTGATGGTGATGGGTAAGGAATTTCAAATGGCGTTCCAGATGACGAGGATGGTGGTGACGGCCTTGGTATGGGACCAAGATAGATTATAGTGCTTTTGTTTAGTCGAAAGAATGAACGTCCCATTGGCTTTGCTCTTGTTGCTTTTGTAGTGTTTTGACTTTTCATGATCGTGGACTTATGAATCCTTTTCGGAAACAAATTCATAAGCTTGCTAGTAAAATTTAGCAAAACTACGCGTTTTATAATTATGATGATCTTTGAATCACGTGAATGCGGTCTGTGATACTATGGAATATATTTTCTGAATGTTTTCTTTTCTATTTTTTTTTTCTTGCAGCAAGAACAGTTTATTTATAAAGAACCTTCAACAACCCTGTCTTCACAAATTCAGTTACGTATGACCACATCTTCCAATATATCGCTCCATTATTTATTTAGGCTATATTATTTTAAAACAAAAACATTAGATTTATTGCTATAAATTAGTTGAATTATCTTATTAATGGATATTTATTATATTGCGTCAAATGGAAAATGAATGATTTATTTTGAGATCTTGATTAATTAATTAAATGCAATGTTTTGATTTCGTGAATTAATAAAAGTAATATTAAATTCTTACTCAGAAACCTTAAGTGCCAAATTTCAAGAGGGCTGTACCGATTTTCTAATAATAAAGATGCGATATTTGTTTCTGGTCAAAGGATTGTAATCACGAGAAAACAAAATGATGGGAATGATCTAAGGTTACATTTTTTCACGTAAAATCGATTCATATCGCTGATTATTATCAACACATGAATTTATCACTTAATGGTCTATGGTATATGTTGTGCGTCAAATGGATCCTTGCGTCAGATTGCTAACGAACATCAAATGACTACCAAATGACCAGCGTTAAATGATCTGCAATAATTGGCCATCCTAACCCTAATCCTAACTCAGGCCGGGCGTCATCTGACGTAAGGATACATACACTCAATAAAAGCGTGAAGTCCTGATAAATGTTATTTATTTATATGATTGTGGATGCGTTAATAGTTTAACAAAATTTTCATAACAATTTCGCAATATATCTTACGTGAAAACTTGTTATAATCAACTAATTAATCGTTTTTACTCAAATTTATTGCAATGATCTTTAACATATCAACACATTTAGTTATTTTTTAATTCCAATTTATTATATGATTTATCAAATCTCAAATACGCTAAAGTAAAAAACTTGGATTAATCGGCATCTCATTTTACAGAAAATCGCGGATGGGCATTACAATTATAGTATACAATAATTACATAGTTCTCAAACTATTGTGTAAACAGTCTAAAGACATTAAATGCTAAGCTACTGCTAAATATTTAACATGCATGTGTTATAATTTAGCTAATCAAAATAGTGAATTATAGTATAAAAAGATTTGTTACACGAGAATATTACAATTTTATTGGTTAAATTTATAAACAAATTGAGTTTTTTTTTTAATATTAAGATAGGTTTTCTTTTTTTTTATTAATAATTTTAGTTGTAAACATTATGATAAATATTATATAAAAAATTGGATTATTTCTTTTTTTTAGTATTAAGGTAACTTTTTAGTTAGTTGCTTTATTGGTTAAAAGTGTTATTAGACTTATTGGTCTTTGATTATAATAATATTTTTATATATTATATTTAAAAAGAACAACCAAAATATACAATATAAATTTTTAATTATCTAATTTAAGTAATCTGTGTTTAAAGATTTATATTAGTTACATTAATCAACCTTTCTGATGATCCTTTACACCAATTTTTTTTATATATACCAATCTACAAATATTATATAGTTAGTATATTTATACTTAACAAAGTTTTATTATATAATATCTAGATTTAAGAGTTTCAAATTGTATATGATAGGAGTGTGGCGACCTAGTGAAGTGAATAGGTTGTCAACCCTCAAGTGGTAGGTCTAGAGTTCAAATCTCAGTAATGGTGAAAATTTGCAATTCTTTCTGTGTTATGGCTAACTGTCTTCTGTAATTGGTTGGATAGGATACCTGTAACTTGTGTTATACCAGCCTGACTAGAAGGTCTAGGCATTTGTGCAACATTGTATGAAGGAACACAAACTGATACCGGGCAGTGTGAACCCAAGATAAGTTCTTAGGCTGTGTAAATTATAGGAATCAGATAGGAAGATGAAAGCCTACTTAGAAGACCCAAGTAGAGAGGTAACCCAAACTTTTGACAGTGCTACTATAAAGATTAGACCTATGAAATAAAG